CTCTCCTTTATTCCCCTCTGCCCTGCACCCCCCCTACCAGCATTCCCATCCCTTAGTTCATGTCCAGGAGACGTACATATAAGCTCTTTGGCTTCTCCATCTCCTATACTATTCTTAACCTCCCCCTGCCTATTTTGTACCTACCAATTATGCTACTTATTCCCTGTACCTTTTTGCCTATTCTCCACCCTCCCCCTCCCTGCTGATAACCCTCCATGTGATCTCCATTTTTGTGATTCTGTTCCTGTTCTAGTTGTTTACTTTGTGGTTTGTTTGGGTTTTTTTTTTTTAGGTTCAGGTGTTGATAGTAGTGAGTTTGTTGTCATTTTACTGTTCATAGTTTTGATCTTCTTTTTCTTAAGTAAGTCCCTTTAACATTTCATATAATAAGGGCCTAGTGATGATGAACTCCTTTAACTTGACCTGATCTGGGAAGCACTTTCTCTGCCCTTCCATTCTAAAGGATAGCTTTGCTGGATAGAGTAATCTTGGATGTAGGTCCTTGCCTTTCATGACTTGGAATACTTCTTCCCAGCCCCTTCTTTCCTTCAAGGTTTCTTTTGAGAAATCAGTTGATAGTCTTATGGGAACTCCTTTGTAGGTAACTGTCTCCTTTTCTCTTGTTGCTTTTAAGGTCCTCTCCTTTTCTTTAATCTTGGGTAATATAATTATGATGTGCTTTGGTGTGTGCTTCCTTGGGTCCAACCTCTTTGGAACTCTCTGAGCTTCTTGGACTTCCTAGAAGTCTCTTTCCTTCACCAGATTGGGGAAGTTCTCCTTCATTGTTTTTTCAGATTAGTTCTCAATTTCTTGCTCTTCCTCTTTTCCTCTGGCACCCCTATGATTCAGATGTTCAAACATTTAAAGTTGTCCAAGAGGTTCTTAAGCCTCTCCTCATTTTTTTGAATTCTGTTTCTTCATTCTGTTCTGGTTGAATATTTATTTCTTCCTTCGACTCCAAATCATTGATTTGAATCCCAATTTCCTTCACTTCACTGTTGGTTCCCTGTATATTTTTCTTTATTTCAGTTTGCATAGCCTTCAGTTTTTCCTCTATTTTGTGACCATACTCAGCAATTTCTGTGAGCATCCTGATTACCAGTGTTTTGAACTCTGCATCTGGTAGGTTAGCACTCTCTTCATCACTTAGTTCTATTTTGGGGGTTTTGATCTGTCTTTTCATTGGGCCATATTGCTTTGTCTCAGTGTACCTGTTAGGTTGTAAGGGATGGAGCTTTAGGTATTTACCAGGGCAGGGCAACTCACATCTCTGTGTTGTGACGCTGTATGTGGGAGAGGGGTCAGAGAGGGAACAATAAAGTCTGCTGGGCTCTCACCGTTTTCAGTCTCTTCCCTTGCTATCCAGAAGCAAATTGGGCACTTCTAGTGCTGATTCCCCAGTGGGTAGGTTTGTATATGATAGGACCCTCTGGGTCTCTCCAACAGACTCTCCTGTGAGGCTGGTAATTTCTCCCGCTGCTGCAAGTACCACAGGTGTTTACAGCCAGCGGTTATGAGGCTTCCTTTTCCCACTTTGGCATCCTGGGTTGCGTGGTCTGCCTTGCTCCCCAGCTGTTCCTCCTGGTTTATCCACATGTAAATGTGGCACTGCCAGCCACTGTCTGAGCACCCACCTGCCTTGGTCCTCCAGCCGCTACCTTGTCATGAGTCCTCTCTGCCCGGCTGCCCACCTTCATCCTTCCAACCAGTCTGGATGAATGTTTCTTCTTTTACTCCTTGGTTGTCGGACTTCAATACAGTTTGATTTTCTGGCAGCTCTGGTTGTTTTTTGTTTTTAAATTTGTTGTCCTTCTTTTGGTTGTGTGAGGAGGCAAAGTATATATACCTATGGCTGGAAGTGTCTTTTTTTGTAAATATTTAGCCTTAAGTATATTGATTGTCATCTTGTAATAATGAAAGATTGAGAATGATACCAATGACCACTTGTAGGGTTTCTTCAACTATTCCTCAAAATCCTATCCTGGTCGCTCCCCTCTGGATTTTCTCATGGTGGTCAGTGTCCTTCTTTAAGTGTGGTGGTCAGAACTGGGCCCAGTACTCCTAGGGTGCTCTGACCTCACAGAGGACAGCGGGCCCAGGATTGCCCTTAATCTGGACATGGAAGTTCTGTCATCAGAAGGCAAGTTTCTGAGCCTCATCTTCTTTCTCTTTGTGTAACTGAGGCTGCCAAAACCCAAGTATTGTCAACCGGTGCTGGTCCCCAGCCATGCTTGTGTCTTTTAAGGAATGACAGTAACTGCTGTTTTCAGATGTTATTCATGGGGTCTCCTTTACTTTGCCTGACAGAGGCCTAGTGTTCTAGTGCTGAGAGGGTATCTGATGCCAACATGTGAGTCACACTCACTTGCTACTGTTCTTTTCCAGAGTTTGTTTCCCTTGTTGCTACAAGTCAGCACTCTCTGTTCTCCCTGCCCAGATTGCATAGTCTCCCTGCCTCATCTCCCATGCTGTGCTTGAATATATGATCTTCTCTGCATTCTATGTATCTACTCTGTAGTTTTGTGCTGCATTTCGAAAGAGCTGAATCCATTGTTTGTGTCTGCATATAGGAAAGATTGCTAATTAACTGTTGGAAATATTTAATTTAATAAAATCTGTGATTGGTTCTTGATTTTCACATTCTCTTGGGTATTTCTCATTGGCATATTCTTAGAGACATTTTCTGAAAAAAGTGCTTTGCCATTAGGTGTTTTTTGAATTACCATTTTCAAATTGCTTTAGGTTTGGTAGGTTTACGAAGCTCTCAGTTTAACACAATTCCGTTTCTCTTTGTGCACCCTAAACCCTGGTGTGTGGCTTCATAGCTACATTTTTAAAGTGCAGAATATCTAATTATTTACACATCTTAATCTCTGACTTTTCTCACACTCAATATTCCCAAAAACTTATACGAAATAATGCATGCTCCATTTTACTTTTGGAAAGTCACATTGTAGTTGAGTATGTTAAAGGCTCTTAAAAATCCTACAGTCAAGAAGGACTGTTCACATTTGCTAATACATTTCCTAAAACTGACTATGAAACAAACCTTTTTTTTCATGAAATATCATTTAACATTATGTGGAAATATACATTTGGGGAGAGGCATTTAATTTTTTCTATGATTCCTTTTCTTTGTCTTTTCAAGTTTCCCTTTTTTCCAGGAAAGTGTTGCTGGAAGCTGGTCCTAGGCAGAACTGTGCTGAGAGGCTGTGTTTGGTTGTGGCCACTTACCTCCTTTTTCAGTATCCTCCTTTCATGATGGGAGCACATCTCCAGCCCAGGCCTGGTTGCTCCTGCTGCTCACAATCTCTTTCTAAAGTAGGGTAACTCAGTTCTTTTTTTCCAGGCTTCTTTTCTGGATGCATCTCTTTTTTGTCAGAATTTGCCTATATTATATATGCCTTTTCCATATGAAACGAGAAAAAATTGGATCACTAAATTCATATGACGGTGTTAATAGAGGATGGAAACTTAATGTGTTTTCCTTGCCATTGGGCTACATATAGTTTTACATGGGGATACAGCCTAAACTGTGTAGCATGATGGATCAGATGTATATTTCATGACCAGAGAGACTGGTGTTAAATCTAAGTCCTACCATTTACTAGCTGGATGGCCTTCAGTGAAGTGAGAATCAGTTTCTTCATGTAAAATAGTGGAGGACAATGCATCTGATAGGGTTGTTTGAGGATTACATGATGTAATGGTTGTAAACCAAGGGGTCAGTAATCTATAGCTCTTGTTATTGTTATTCAGCTATGATTCCATTGCCTGTGATTTCCCCACGTTTTACTGAGAAAAATTTTAAACACAGAAAAATTGAATAAGTTTAACCGGGAACATTCAAAAACTTACCACCTAAATTCAATAAATAATATTTTGCTATATTCGATATATCATATGTATATATATATATATTCACCTATTGATCTTTTTATCTATTCTTCCATCTTATTAAATGAAGTTCAAAGTAAGTTGCAGACATCAATACATTTTTTACATCAGCTCTAATTTCATTGATGAGAGTTCAATATTTGCTTATGATTTTTTAGTAACATTTTAATACAGTAAAATGTACAAATTGTAAGTGTACTGTGTGTTGTATAATGCAGACCCTTCTAAGGATATGGAATATTTACCTAACCTCCAAAATTTTCCATGTCCCTGTCTAGTCAGTCCCTGCCTTCACTCTTAATCGTGAGGATTGCCTTTGGTTTTTATACTGGAATTCAGGTTCTGATTTTAGTCCAGTGATGGGAGTATTTGGGAGCTGCGGAGCTGCCTGATCTGCTCATCACTCTACAGACAATGGAGCTTGGTGTAGTTTTCCCACAAGAAATTTTATGAATTTTGTATTTTTATAAAAATGTAGCCATTCATCCAACACACATTTAGTTGATAGATATATTGCTGAGTAAATGGTGAGGGAGACATTCTGGAATCAAACGAGTGCTGTACAGCATTACAGAGCCTCTGAGAAAAAAATAGGCACAGAGTATGGTGGAGGAATCCAGAAAGGAGTGATTTACTTCTCCCTGACTTGAGGGCATAGGCAGTGACTGCCTCATAGGGAAGGTGATACTTAAGCTAAGGACTATGGAAGATGAGTTGGTGTTTGCCAGGCATTAGTGGAGTGAGAGAGTGGGAAAAGGGCATTTCAGGTGAGCAAAGGCAAAGAGGAGGGAAAGAGCTTGGCGGGGTGGAGATGGTTTGCTAGGCTGCAGCAAAGGCTGCAGGAGATGAAGCTAGAGTGGTAGGTGGGGAGGACTTCGCATGTTATGCAACTAACTTTGGTTTTGTTTTATAATTTGACATATCATTTAAAAGATTTACTCATTTGTAAAAGGGGTTATACTCAAAAGAGAAAAATTGTCAAGTAGTACAAGTTGAATGCTCAAGATTGGTTTATGATCAAATCAAAGTCATATATCTTTTTTGTTTTACTGCACTACAATTTTATACTTCTGATTACCTCCTTTCTCTCTGTAAAATGACAGGTGGTGTGCCAGTATTTGAAAAATCCCCATGTTTCGGATACACAGTTGCTGCAGAATGTTTTCCAGGCTCTGAATGTATATTACAATTATTCAGGCCAGGCGAGGTGCCTGAATATGTCTGAGATATCAACGAGCAGTCTGGGAATCCTGGGTTGGAGCTATCAGGTAAATATGTATGTATAATTCCCCCAGGTGGAACTTACTGTTCACTGATATGGTTGTGTTGTAACAGAGAGTCTACAGATTTTGTCACCTAATCTGAATCTCAATTCAGTCTCACCGAGAGACCATGGATAAATTTCCTCATTCATTCTTACGTGTATTTAATCATCACCAAATATATTCTGAGTACTTACTATTGATCAATCACTCTTCTAGGCTTCAAAGATACAAAGATAAGTAAGACATGATCTTACCATCAAATATAGCTTGTTGAAAAAGAAGTGTAACTAATATTACAATAGATCTTGATAAGTTTTCTAAAGGAAGCTTTTTATGGACACATATGAGGTGTATCCAGGAAAAGTCCAACCATTATTAATATAATGTGAATGGTTTGTGTGCCATCGGTGTAATGTGGCAGCCAAGGAGCAGGGACTGGAATCGCGCATATGTGAACAATGACAACTTCACTGTACCAGTCTGTAGGGGCAGTAGATGCAATTGAGTGAGCATGTGTATTGTGAGGCTGTCACATGCAAAATAATTGAGCCAGCAGAGCAATGAATCTGCATCAGATTTTGTTCCCTGGGTGGTGTGGCTCAGTGGATTGGACACCAGCCTGTGAACCGAAGAGCTGCCCGTTTGATTCCTAGTCAGGGCACGTGCCTGGGTTGTGGGCCAGGTCCCTGGCAGGTGTGCGAGAGTCAACCATACATTGTGTTTCTCTCCCTCTTTTCCCTTCTCTCTAAAAATAAATAAATAATATCTTTACAAAAATGTTTCATGTTTGGCTTGAACATTTCTCTGTGGAAACTATTTGATGATTCAAAAAGCCGTAAGAGTGAGGAGTGCTGCTCTGACAGGAGGATCGGCGTCTGGGGTTAGGCCCCTAGCGCAGCCCGCTTTGCAGTCTGTCTTACTATTTTGATTGGCAGTTTCATTATGACAGTGTGCCCATTCATGCATCATGTCTCATGCAGAGTTTTTTTGCAAAACGTCAAAGCACCCAGGTGACTCAGCACCCACACAGCCCAGATTTGGTGCCCTGTGACTTCTGGCTTTTCCCAAAACTAAAATCACCTTTGAAAGGGAAGAGATTTCAGAACATTGATGAGATTCAGGAAAATATGACTGGACAGCTGATGGCGTTTGGGAGAGCTGTGTGATGTCTCAAGGTGCCTACTTTGAAGGGGACTGAGATGGCGTTGTCCTTATGTACAATGTTTCTTGTATCTTATTTCTTCAATAAATGTCTCTAATTCAATAAATAAATAAGTAAGTAAGTAAGTAAGTAAATGCCATATTACATGGCTAGATACCTCTGGACTGACCTCATAAAAGAAGAGGAATCTAACTTGCCTGTCTCTGAGGCTTTGTATCTTCATCTGTACAATGAGAATAAGAAGAATAAGAACACTTTCCTTCCAGAATTGTTTTGAGGATTCAGTATGATAATAGGTGTGAAAGAAAGCAGTTTACAAGGAAGGACTATATAGCTCTAACTTCTGTGACTTCTCAGCCGAGCCTTCCCAGGAGCAGTGAGGTGACATGGCAGAGAGGGCAGAAGCAGGAGCCCTGAAGCCTGCCTGCCTGAGGTCAGATCCTGGCTTTGCTGCTTCCTAGCCGTGTGACCTTGGACAATTTATTCACTTCTTTGTGCCTTCTTTTTCACTTGATTCTTCTGGTTTGCTTTTTCAGGCCTGCACAGAAATGGTTATGCCGTTTTGTACAAATGGGATTGATGACATGTTTGAACCTCACCCATGGGACTTGAAGGAATTTTCAGATGATTGTTTTAAACAGTGGGGTGTGAAACCAAGGCCTTCCTGGATCACTACTGTGTATGGAGGCAAAAACATCAGTTCCCATACGAATATCATTTTCAGGTGAGTTTTTGCTGGTCCAAAGAAAAACTTTGGTTGATGGAGACATTTGTAGAATAGCTGAGAAAATAGAACCCGGAAAAATATTGGACAATAAACAACATAGAATACACCCACTGGCATCCTGTTTCCCTATTTTTTGAAAGATAGAGGATGCTGAGAAGAGATAGGATTTTATACTTTATTACTAACATGCTTAAAGGCTTCAAAACAATACAGCACCGAAATTAAAATACTTAAAAAACTCCTCAGCACAAAATGAAGCATCATCTGTTCTCAATGTGTCTTACTTTTGTTATTATTGTTATTAATGGTAATAAAAGCTTTTTAGTATCTATTCAACAAACATTTTTGAAGTTCCCAACCTTTTCAGTTCTAGGCACTATATGAAACACTTTAAATATATTATCTAAAATTGAACGCTGTGAAGTAGTTGTTATAATTTTTTTTATTTAACTGAGGCGGAAAGTGAGGGTCACCGTGTTCAGTCATTTGCCAAAGTCTCATTCAGCTTTGTTTTAGTTACTAATAAAGCCAGATTTGACCCTTGGCCTGTTTGACCACAGAAATCCTATTTGTTCTCCTTTGTTACACTGCTCCTGTAGTGACATAGTTGGTATTGCTTCACATCAGAGTTACTTGAGTAGGCTCTGTGTGTGTCTGATTGTGACTTCAAAATTTCCATGTTTCGGCTTGTGTATTAGACTGTCAGCTAGTAAGAATAGCAACCAGTTAATAAAAAAATTTCCCAAGTCTATATGGAAATAGTAGAGATACCCATTCATAGCTCTTAACCTGGAGCTATTGTTTAAACTGTATTGAATACATGCCATTCTTTTACGAGCTCTTATAGATAAGGCTCAAACTGGGCCTTGGCGCCGTGCTCAGTAGCTTAAGAGTGAGGAGTGCTGCTCTGACAGGAGGGTCGCCGTCTGGGGTTAGGCCCCCAGCGCAGCCCGCTCTGCAGTCTGTCTTACTGGGCTGATGCTCTTTTCTCCCCCAGTGGGGCACCTGCCCAAAATAAAAGGTAAACACTTTAATGGAAAATAGAGATTCATTTTGTTTATTTCCTTAAATTGTGTTCCTTGTTCTCAATAGGATTCTTGACAACAGTAGTCTTCAGCTCAGCTTGAAAAAAGCTGATAGTTGAACAAATAAATCTATTTAGGGATTTTAGGGAAACTGGACTAAATTTGGGTGTTTTAAGTTAGGGGCTAATCTCTATGTAGTATTTATATGGAATGTTCTAGTATGCTCATCCTTCCTCCCTGACCTTATAAAGCTGAAGTTCAAGTTGAATTATAAAGTGAAGTCTTTAAATCCTTGCATGAAGATTTTAATATGTGAGTTTTGATCACATACAGTGTCCTTTTGAAATTGGATGCAGCCATTACAGGTATTTATTTTAGTTATCCACTTGTCTTCTTATTTTCCTCAGGCCATCAACAATCATCATCATCATCATCATCATCACTGGGAGGGGGACAGATTTTGTGAGAAAATTTGGGGAATAAAACTGAATCCTGTAGATGGAAATTATAGCTCAGTGTTAAAAACTTTTCATTCGGTATAAGAAAGGACTTTCTAAAAAAAAAAAAAATGAAAGGACTTTCTAACAGAGCTGTGCAAGGGTAGAATGAGCTGTCTTAAATGAAATTACTTAGCTCTCTTTGATGCTCAGTTTTCTCTTCTGAAAAAATGAGGATAATAATACCATGCACCCTATAAAGTTGTGATGCTTAAAAGAGTTAACTCAGTAAAGTACTCATCCCAGAACTCAGATATATAGGCTCAAAAAATATGTGTTGAATGAATACATGGAAGTACTCTCTGCCTTGTATTTTACATTGAAGCCACAGGGAACTGTTTATTTGTCCCTGAATGCCGTTCCCTTTCCTCTTTTCTCCCTTTCTTAAGACACAGGCGTCCTCCGAGAAGCCTTCCCTGACTGCCTCAGGGAGGTTGGGTTTCCACACCCCCTTGGCTCCCAGGGCCTGTGACTAGCACTAGCACCCTGTGTAGAAGTTATCTGTCTATGTTTCTATCTACCCCCATGAGGTTGTGGACTTCTTAATGGCAGGGACGGTCTTAATCATCTCTGTGCCTCTGGCGCCTGCTACAGTGACTGGCACATAATGCACAATAAATGTGTGTGCTGATAAGGATGAGGAAGGAAATACAAAGCTCAGAAAGGCTTCAGGTGCATGTGAAAGGTTAAAGGCAAGGCTACGTGAAGATGCTGGTTTATCTTTCTGCAGTGGCAAGTCTACTTTTAAAAAGAAATGTTCCTAGGTAAAAAAAAAAATCCAATGTAAAAAATTTTAAGTTTGTTAAAAATTCAGAAACATCCAGCTTTTCTAAAGAAAACATGTTCCCAAAGTAAAGGAGCTGCCTCAGGTGTCCCTGTTCTATGTACTTAGTGGCTCCCAGCTAGAAAGCATTTCTGGTTGATGAGTGAGTAAATGTCCAAGGAACCATGTGGAAATATCTTTATGTTCATGATTCTCTCCTAGTTGCCTCCCATAAATGCATGACTGCTTTTCTGATAGGAAAGTTCAGTCTGTAATTGGAGATTTGCCAGTTAAGGACTTGGGCTTTGAAGTCAGAGAGACCAGGGAGCTGTTCTGCTTCTTCACTGGGTAAGCTGTGTGGCCTCAGGCAGATTGCCAACCTATGTAAATCAGAAGTAACGACCGCCTGACAGGGTCATCTCAGGGAGTAGGCAGACTGTTACGGAAGGGAGCGCCATGAGTGCAGAGATTCTGTGTGTTGCTCGCGGCTGAGCGCCCTGTGCCCGGTCAGTGCCTGGCGCAGAGTAGGCACTCGGTAAACATTTGTTGAATGAATGAGGATTGTAAAAACAGTAGCTATTGATAGTGCCACTTCAGCATTTGAAAAAAATTTCATAGTGGTTTTGTTGGAAGGATTAATTTTTCCCTGACCCCAATTGATAAGGTCTTATCTTACTTACTTCAATGGTCATTCTCAATGACTTAAATGTAAATCTGAAAGGCAATTGCTGAGAAGCTGATTAGTTTAATATCATTTTTTAGAAACATTGTTGCCAACAATTAAGGGAGATTCACTGTTGGGAATTTTATCTGGGTATCTAGATTATCTCATGAAAGTCATCATTACTACTTTTTAAAAATTTCCCAGTGACTTGTAGGAAGTTTCACAATGTCTAGGACCAAGAAATTCAAGTACATGTGCATCTTAGGTCTCCCAGCAACTCCAGACACTCTTTGTCACTTGGCTGATTCAGATGACCTTTTAAATCAAGTGCAGTTTACTTACTGTATGGCTGTTGGATATCTTTTTGGTTTTGCAAATAATGGACTGTTTTGTATCTGGTTTGATCATATCAAATGGGAATAATGATAAAGACTATTTGTTCACTTAAGAGAATCCAACCTGTGTGCAGTTTACTTTAGAAACATATCTGGTAGTTGAAAACTAAGAAGATCCTATTTGCACATGAGTTTCCCCTTAAAATTTTTTTTTTTTTATTGATTTTAGAGAGTGAAAAACATTGACTTTTTTTGTTGTTGTTCCTCTTATTGTTGCATTCATTGGTTGATTCTTGTATGTGCATTGATTGGGGATCAAAACCACAACCTTGGTGTATCGGAACAATGCTCTAACCAACTGAGCTACCTGGCCAGGGCTCCTTTTTGTTTTTTATAAAACCAAAAAAGTACATTTTTGGATTGATTTTTTTTTTTCCAAGGATGATGTTATTATGTTGCAATTGGATTTTTTTTTTTTAAATAAGACTGTGGTGAGAATTTGTGGTTGAAATTTAACCTGCATTTCAAACATATATATATTTAATGTACCTAAATGCATATTTTGTCATTTAATTTGTACATTTGCCTAGAAAAAAATTGATTGCATTAGTTTCTGATCGAATTTCTATGAGAAATGCTTTCACATTCTTTTTCATGATTCATTAGCTTCTCAGAATTATTAATGTAACAGAGTGGTCAGGCTGAATCTCCCCGAGAAAGCAAGGGGCAAAGGGAAATAACTTCACAGCGGAACTGAAGGTTAGAAGCCATTTGCCTTCCCTGAAAAGGGAAGGTCCTCCATAGAAGGGAGATTGTTTGAGGCAAAACTATAAACAAAGCCAGCATGCATCATTCCAGAAACCAAGCAATCCAGGCCTTCCCAGCAGGGTGGGGCTGCAGGAGAAGACTACTGCCTCAGGTAGTGTCACTGGAAGTATTGCTAGATTACTGACCTCTTATGCCACATGGTGGCTGGAAGAGGGGAAAAGGCAAACATGACCAATATTACCCTCATTGGTTGAAAAGCAGGACACTTCCACTGGCCACTGGAACACATGGTATTTTGGGACAGGACTTTTAAACAGAAGAGGGGCAGAAGCTTGCTCTCTTGACCACTTGGCATTCTGGCTTTTTGGGCTCTTTTTGCTTCCCCCCGCCGCAAGGACTGCTTCAAGCTTAGGCCTCGCATGGTTAGAAGTGAGCTCTGGGAGGCAGGGTCCCACGCTGGGCTGTGTGCCTCACTGGCACCAGCCCTTGGGGATGCTACGACCCTGTGCAGCACGGCACACAGGCCCTGCACTGCTTCCACTCTCACCCTGAGACAGCGCACAGAGACTGAGAGCAGCACTGGGAGGCATGGGGTGGGAAGTTCCCTCTGAATGGAGCTTCCCCTGCACGGCTGTTTGGAGTGTTCTGGCAGCCAACCCTGACCCTGAGAGAGAGAGAGAGGGGCTGCAAGGCAATGGCAACTCTGGCAAGGAGGAGAGAGAGGGCCTGGAGCTGGAGAGATGAAGACTCATTTGAAAAACCACGTTGGGCTGCAAATAAACAATAATGGGAAACTTCTGGTAATGGATTTGGACTTCAATCTCCCTGGAGGTGCCTAATTTTCTGTACTTTGTGGGAGAGGTCAGCTCGCAACAGGAATGCTCCCAGCTGCCTCACATTGGGAACCATGTTAATAAAAACCTATTCTTTCCCCACAAATTTTTGTGTTATGCATATATATGGCGACAAGTGGCCAGACCCCATGCAGCCATTACATTAACCCTTTTCATGCTTATAGAATATGCTAATAATTATTACAATACTGCACATTTATATTGTACTTTATAGTTTGTACCTTTCACATATATTATTTAACTTAAACACTGCGCTATCTCTGTGAGAAAGGGGCATTACCCTTAAAATTTGGGAGCATGATACATGTGGGAATTGAGGGTCAGAGAGGTCAGGTTACTTACCCAAAATCATGTGGCTAGAAAGGCTTCAAAACTCAGATCTGCTACTTAGTTAATTGTTCTTGCCACTACTACACACCATGGAGTGTCAGTCCCTGTGTATTTATATTAATCATTTATATGAACCCTGCTTTTTCATATAAAAATACTGAAGTGATTTATATGTACCTGACCTTGCATACATGTATTTATGGACCTCTTCTGGGTAGGGCATATGATATCAGGACAAAGACAACTAGACATTTACATTCTTTTATTTTTCTTTTATTAAATATTTGTATTTATTAAATACAAATACCATGTGCCAGGTGTTAAAGGTACCATAATAAAGCAGACAAAAGTCCCTGCCCTTGGGAAGTTACAGTTTGAGAAATAGATAATAAACAACATAGCACCTGTAAATATATTAGGACATAAGTGCTAGGGAGAAAAAAGATAACCAGGGAAGAGGGCTATAGAATGTCGAGGTGAGTGGGAGAATGGCAGGGTTGAAATTTTGGAAGAGAGTGACCAAGGAGGACTTCACCAAGGGGTGGCTTTTGAAAATGATCTGGAGGGAGGACTTCAGACAGGTATGAGTTTGGTGGGATAAAAACGCTTCACACAGAAGAGGAAGCAAGGGCCAAGACCTTGAGAGTAAATGTCCCAGCATGTTCTCCTCCAGATCCCATAAGGAGGTGAGTATGGCTGCAGTAGGTGATGAGGAAGAGAGTAGCAAGGGTTGAAATCGAAAGTCAGCAGAGAGCCCAGATCATGTAGAGACCTGCAGGTCCTAGTAAGGCCTTTGGTTTTTAATTTGAAAGAAATGGGAAAACTTGGAGTGTTTTGAGCGGAGGTGTGATGCAGTCTGATTCAGGGTTTAATAGGATTCAGTTGCTCCTCTAGTGATAGTATGGAGGTAAGAGTAGAGGAGGAAGGTCAGGAAAGCGCTATTCAGTCTAGAGATAACGGTGAGTTGGATCAGAGTGGTGGCAGTGGCTATGCGGAGAAATGTCCAAATTCTGGTACTTGAGTATATAGTTGATGAGATTTGTTGACAGATTGGGTGAGAAAGAAACAGAGGATTAAAGAGTGACACCAGACGTTTTAGCCCAAGTAACTAGAAGGACAGGGTTGCCATTAACAGAGATTGAGAAAATAGAAGGAGGGCCAGGTTGGGATTTGGGCCGTATCAAGAGCTCTGTTCTGGACCTGGTATTTGAGAATTCTGATTTGACTTCCATATGAAAATATCAAGTAGATGGTAGAATTTTGGATCTGAAGTTTAGGGGTGAGGTCCTGGCTAGAGACACTATTGGATGGTCATCTATGTATAGATTGTACTTAAAGATGAGGGCTTTTTGATGATTATGCAAATTATGGTAATAGTTTCATATATCTGATAATACAACCTTGAAGAGTTGTTATGTCAGGCTTTGTAACAAAAGCAGCGAGATGGAATGTGCATTAAAGAAATGTCAGAACATAACGTAAAATGGAGATTATGGGCTGCCAGTGAGTATGGGTGTCTTTTTGGGGTGATGAAAATGTTCTAAAATTGCAGTGTAGTTTACAAAACACTGAATATACTAAAAAGCATTGAATTGTACATTTTAAATGAGTGAATTTTGCAGTGAATTATATCTCAACAAGGCTGCTGAATATTATTAGGGATGCTGTCTGTGGTTATAATAGATTTTTACTCAGCTAATCTAGGTAGTCTGTTTCAGTGACTGATCCTGTTGATGTCATTCTGAAACGTGTTGTGTGAACCATCCAGCCAAGACTAATAACCTAATAGCATTTCCTTAACTTTAAAGCCAATATAATTTGGGGATCTTTGAGTAATTACCATATTTTTTTATTGAGATTTAGAGAAATTTTCTTTAGTTCTACCACCCCATTTCCCCAAATACTATACTACAAGGAAAGTGTTGCGTGAAAAATGAAGGTTTGGTTTTTTTTTTAAAGAGCTAAGAGCTAATTACCATTTTCAAATATTGGAGTTTTTCTTTATCACTTTGATAGCTGGGTCCTAGGAAGAAGGAAACTGGCATTAATTGAGGGACTGCTATGTGCCTGACACTTGTGCTTATTAAATACATGTATCGTCTGGTTAAACCCATGCAACAGCCTTATGAGGTCGGCCTTGTTATCTCTGTTTTTCAGAGGAGGAACGTCATCTGGCTTTTGGGTGATGAAGCTGGGAGTAGAATTTAGGTTTCTAAATTCCAATTTTTGGTATAATCATTACTGGTTCAAGGGCACCTCATTCACTCCTTGGTCCTCTTTCTTGTATTTGTTTTCAGAAAAATGTAAAACTCATGGGAATCATCTTTCTATATAACAGATTAGGTCCTCAGATCAAATCCCCAGGTTATAGGCTTGTGATTTTAGATGTTATGCATAAAATCGATTTCTCCTATCTTATCTGGGTATAGATGTGAACAACTAACAATCTTATTTTTTCTTCTTTCCCTCACTTAGCAATGGCGACCTAGACCCCTGGTCAGGGGGTGGAGTAACCAAGAACATCACAGACGCCTTGGTTGCCATCACCATCGCAGAAGGGGCCCATCATCTGGATCTTCGCGCCAACAATGCCCTTGATCCCGCGACCGTGCTCGTAGCCCGCTCCTTGGAAGTTAAATACATGAAGCAGTGGGTCAGAGATTTCTATGCCAGCCTGCGAAAGACACGCTGAGCAACTTCTGCTCATTTTCAGTTTCTTCTTTTATGTTCATTCCACCCACGTTCCCATCCGCTTTGGTTTTCTGTACAAAATTACTTTCCCTTGTTCATCCTTGGATTCGGTGGAGCAAAGGCTGAGACAGGAGAGAGGGTGATGGTGGTGGCAGCAGCCACCCACACCGCACGCCCTTGCCCTCTTGGCACCACTTCGGGGAGGAATCCCTGCGGCGGGCCCCCCGCCCCCCCAGGGCCCTCAGAGCTGCGGCAGGGCTCCTGCCTTTCCCACGGGGGGCCTGTTCCTTTGTGTCCCAGCGAGCAGGGCTTTCTTCTGGTTTTCAGACTGAAGTCTCTCTGGCCCGTCTGTCATTCCCCACCCTTGTCCTCCCAAAAGGAAAAGCAGAAGGTAGATAAAGATGATGTGATTGCAGCTGATGGGAAGGATGTCCGATGCCGATCCAGGAAAAAGGAGTCATTTCATTTGTACTTGATTTAAAGACTTGGAACTGTGCTTCCCAATTTCTAAATAAAGAGTAAGGCTGGACCTTGTACCTGTGTGTTGCCCCTGAAGTGCTCACTCCAGCAGTTGGGATCGCTGTGTGCACTGGGCTTGGCTGTTGTAGGAAAATCTTTTAATTTTCTCTCTTCTACTTGCCAGCTTTTCTTAGTTCTGGGATGTTTGCCACTGTGGTACTGCCAGTAAGAAATCTGGCCCCTTTTTGCTCCATTTCTCTTTGTTTCTAAGGTCAGTTTTGTTTCTAAGGTCATTTTTGTGGTAATTTGGTTACATTCTGTCATTTTGGGAAAATGACTCTGTTTTGCTTTTCCTTTTACATCGCAGCAAGCTTTTATATGCTGTGGCCACTGATGATACTTTCCTAAGAAACCTTTAAAAATTGATGAACCAACTATTCAGAAGGTAGGATGTAGTTATGTTCAGCTTTTTTAAAATTTTTATTTCCTTGTGGTTGGTCCTGTGTCATTAAAGCCAGAAGTAAGGACATTAAGAGGCAGGTGTACGAGAACTTCTCTGTTTGGCTTCCAAATGACAAGGTAATTCCTGCAGGCAGCATATTTGACATCAATAAATGACTGAGCCGTTGCTATTTCCAAAGGGTTGGCTGCTTTCAAACCGTTCTTACGCTGAGACCTTTCTTCAGAAGAGCTTTTCTAGGAAAACAAATAGGGTTGGATCAAAACCTTTCAGGGACACAGAGACTAAGAGTTTCTACCTCGTTGAAAGATTTCTTCCCCTTTGTCTTTCTGCTTTTTAAAAAGTGTACCTTGATCTCCATAATTTCTAGAGTACTTATTTTTTTTTAAAGTCCATATATAATTTTAATTCTTAGGTAAGAGACTGAAATATTTCCCTTATTTTCCCTGTCATCTGGGAGGCACAGAAAAATCTTTGTCTGGTCTCAGAAGCCTCCAGTTCTCATTGTAATGACTTGTCTGTCAAAGCACTTGGTCACTACTATCATTTCAACATCAGAGAAAAGTCTGTTGAGGTGGGAATTTAAGGGTCAAAACAATACTAATTTGTAGTTTTTATTCACCATCAACTAAGAAGTTATATAATACAGGGTTTATGGGCTTAATAGAGGATATTCTTACTATTTATTTTATGATACTATTGATTTTGGGATATTTTCCTTGAACCCTTTTTACTTGTATAAAATGTTTAAAACATTTTGCCACTTCATTTAACATTAACTTTTGGCTCGGGCAGGTGTGGTTCAGTGGATTGAATGTTGGCCTATGAACCAAGAGGTCACTGGTTTGATTCCTGGTAGGGACACATGCCTGGGTTGCAGGCTGGGTCCCCTATGGCGGTCTGCAAGGGGCAACCAGTTGAGGATTCTATCACGCATCAATGTTTCTCTCCCTCTCTCCTCCCTTTCTCCCTCTCTCCCCTCTCTCTAAATAGATGCAGAAATAAAATCTTAAAAAGAAATTAATTCTTTGGATGAATTGCATTTTGGGAAGAGAATAACAGCCCAAAATGACTATTTTCCTACAAGTATAATTTAGTCTTATGTTTTTCTTTATGCACATTTTATGACAGATGGCAACCTTAATTAAAGTTAGCCTAATTATAATTTTCTTAAATTTATTTTTAAATTGAAAAAGAATTAGAACATCAAATAAACCCTATTTAAAGCATCCATCTAATTAATAGATGATGCTTTTGAAAGACCAGGAAAGAGAAACAAAGAGAATTGGGGTGATTTTTATCTTCTGTTTTTGTTGCTTTAACTACCTAGAGTCAATGAGTAAAACTAAAGAAAATTAGGGACCTTTGTTAAGGGTTCTGTAGAGTCAAGAGATTATCCAGAAAAGCTGCTGTCTAGTCTAGCATGTTAGAAACTAAAGGCACCTCAGATACCCAGGCCGACCCCATCATCTGTGGGTGGATAGCATTATGGCACAGAGAGATGGAACATGTGTAAGGCCTCACTCACAGCTCATTTCTGGCTGAACCAGGCCTTGATTCCAGGTTTGTTGTTGTTTTCATTTGCTGGTGTAGCTTAGTTTTTGTTTGGATTCAAGAAACAAAACCTCACCAAACCAGTTTAAAGCAAAAGAAGGAATTTATTGAAACTGCAGGAATAGCTCCAGGATTAGATAACCAGGAGTTATGAGGGAATAGAACTGAGGTCTAGAAGGTCATTAAAAGTCAAGACTACTACTTCTCTTTTCTCTCATTTGGACAGAGGTTGTCAGCCTGTGGGGGAGATTTGTTTCTGAGATGTTTATAGCTTGGCCAGCAGTCGAACATGTGCATGCCCATCAAAATTACCTGAAGGGCTCCTTAAAACATTGATTGCCAAGGCCCATCCCAGAGATTGTAATAATGACGTCTTAGGGCGGACCTTTGGAAGTTGTAACTCTAACAATTTCCCAGGTGATGCTGGGGGGTCACACTTTGAAAACTACTAGTTGAAAGAATTCAGAATTTCCGTTTCTTCAGACAGGGCATGTTCCTTAGTTCACCTCACACCTGTTGTCCCGTCTGATCCTGTCTGAGTTTGGGAGCCCTGCCTAGCATTCCTCTTCCCATTGCTGCTTCCTTCTCTCTAGACCAATTTGCTCTTCTTTGCTTGCACAGGGCCCATGGCGACTTCTCAATATGGTGTCCTCATGCCCCGGAGGCTGCACCAGCTCATAAACCCACAACTCTGAGGTGGTTCGCAGAGGACATATTATAAAAACATGACATTAGAGGTACACTATTTGGGATGAAGTGGGGCCATTCTGGTAATTCAGCATGGAACTAGCACACTCTTTCAGCGAACACACGTGTCTTAACAAAATGCTGATGACTTATGTAGTAGGAAGTTCTATAGATAAGCAACTTTGGAAAATAATGGGTTAAACAGAGTTAAATAGTTGCAGTTTTTAAATCTGTAAATATGAATTATAACTATCCAAAATGGTAATTGAGAATGTAATTTTTCTACTTTTTCTTAGGTAGAGAAAGAGAGAGAAAGAAACATTACTTTGTTGCTCCACTTCTTTATACACTCATTGGTTGCCCTGACCAGAGATAGAAACTGCAACCTTGGCATATTGGGACAGCACTAATGAACTGAGCTACCCAGCCAGGGCTACTGTTCCTGCTCTTACAGAGCTACAAGCATACATCATTGTTCTGGAACCTGGAAAATAAAATGGTAAAGAAGAAAACACAGTATCTGTCCTAATAAGATTTACATTCCTCTAGGAAAAGATACGGAATGTCAAATTATTCAATGAGTTAATATAAGTGCTATGAAGAGTGGTGGCTCTTCAGGCATTTACTAAGGAATCTAAGTCTGTGGGAATAAGACTCCTTGTTTGCGGTGAGACATTTTATCAAAATGATGAGTGTAGCTGTCCTAGGAAGAGGAAGGGAAAAACAGCATGTGCAAAACCCTGAGTGCAGCATGTTCAAGGAATTGAAAGAAAGCCACCATAATGGAACAGGAGACAACCAGAGGGCAAGTGACATAAGGTGAATTTGGACATGTGACAGGAAAAAGCTCATTCATGTAGACATGGTAAGTAGTCATTGTGAGGAATGAGAATACATTGAATGTCCTTAATCAGGGGAGTGACACGAACAGATTTTTGTTGAAAAAGGTCACTCTAGAAAATGACTGTTAGGCTCTCTGCCCATTTTTTCATTGGATTGTTTTTGTTTTTGATTTGGACTTTTGATGTTTAATTGTCTGAATTCTCATATATTTGTTTATCTGGCTTAATCTAGAAATCGATTTTACTGTCTGGAGGGAGATTGTAGCCAAAATTTTGACAGAGATAGTTTACTTGCTGTAGTAGATAGTTGAACACAGAGGGAAGGAATGGTGTTTTTTGACATAAATGAAGTAATTTCATAAAAATAAGCTCAGACACCTGAACTCACTATCACTCACTACTTGGCTCAGGAGTGAACTATTGGACCAGCTGTGGCTCACCTGGTTCTGCTATGTGGCTGCAAAGCAGAGACGGAGTCAGGTGCTTTGACCACAAAGATGTTTGCATCTGTTACCAAACTTCCTCTCTGGCTTTGGGGGAGTGGTTTTAACCATTTATTTTATTTTGTTTCTTAACACCTGAAGTCTGAGGTAAATAACCAAAGAAAGATTTACAGCAAACCAGCAACCAATAACCCAAGATATCAAACTCCAAATGAAACTGTTTGCTCAGGCGACCTGCAGAGCGCTCTGACATTGGAAGTACACCACCAGCACTTTTGAATAAGTGAAATACAGTGAAGTAGCTGGATGATTTCATAAATGGCTTCCTTCTCTCATCATCAAAAGTCATTGAATTATTCTGGTTTCAGAAATCTCCCCTATGGCTGACAGAAGACATTTCATATGTTACCATGATGTCAATTCACTGGGTCAGTGTCTCTAACTTCAGAATGGATGGTACAATGTAAACTAGTACAGTATCCATCCACTTTGTATTTAAGGTACTCATGGGCAGATTTCCACCATCTTTCTTGCCTCCTTTTTCTGGTGTCACAAAACCTTCACCTGCAGGAGTTTACTCTTTAAGTAACGCAGTGGTTTTCAGCTGGCAGCCCTTTTGCCCTGCAGAAGACATGTGGCAATGTCTGGAGATACTTGTCACAACTCTGGGTAGCAGGGAGTTGCTGCTCGCTCTAAGGAGTAGACAACAAAGATGCCGCTAAACATCCCATAATGCAAAGGACAAACTCCCATAACAATGTTTTATGTGGCCCCAAATAGCAACAGGGTTGATGTCTCACCTAAATCTCTATCATAATTTAAGGCCCCCCTTTCAAGTTTTATCTAGCAAATGAGATGAAAAATTTGATTGCTAATTCAGTTATTCCAATAGCCTTACACTCTAAAAAACACAATAGCGCAATGTTTAGAATGTACCATCTAAACATTAAATACAGACACCCTCTTCTCTAACATTGAATAACTTTTGTTTTGGAGACTGGTTCTCAATCGATTCCTGAGCTTTCTTTCCCCTGGGTCAAATATTTCCAGTTCTGTGGATTGCTTGTTCATTCACCAT